ACTTGGCTGGTTGCACGATAGTCCCGTTGGTCGTGTTTGTAGAAGTGACACAATTGACAAGTATATTGGAGGTGGTTGTGCAACTTCCATCGGCGGTGAGATTGATGATATTGTTGGTGGTGATCAACGATGCATCTTGAATTGTAGGCTTAATATAAAGCTGCCCATCTCGAATGAACAAATTCTCGGCATCTGTTGTGGTTTGCTCAAATTGGCCATTTCTGTTTTAATTGTCAGAGTCTGAATGCATGTACACGTAAGGGAAGAAACTGACCCATAACCTCCTACTTGAACTTCTGTTGTCCAAATATTTGGATCTAAAGTACCAGAGGAAAAGTCTTCTAGAAGAACTGGACAGTACTTGTGGTGTGTAATTTCAGCTAGTTTTAAGTAGATGATGAGACCAGTTAGACCCAATCCAAGAAGCAAGCCGCAAAGAGGAAGTACCCATAACAGGGACTCCTTTTTTGCCTTTTTGTTGACTGGGAGAGGTGTAGCATCTGCCTTGCGAACGCGACGAGATCGAAAGTATCCTGTCCCAGGGACTTCGGCATACTGAAATCCAGATCGAGCCCCAATTGTCGAGGCAGGTCTTGAATATGGAGGTGTTGCGAATGGATTAGAGGTGCCAACAGGAGTCTGTACACGACTGTTTTCCTCAGATTGAGGGGTACTCTTTGGAGTGTTGACGTGAGATATAGCTTTCTGCATTTTTGCTATAGTAAGAAACGAGTGATGCTAAAGTAAAAAGTTGCACTATCAAAACTCAGACAAAGCTCGAGGAGATTTCACATTATAGCCCAATGCTTCAAGCGATCACCACAACCTGTTTCCTGAAAAATAGAGTATCCTGCAAGCTTTAGCAGGACCCTTATCGGATGTGCAATGGTCGAGAAGGTGTATTGAGGACCCGCAGTATACATGGGGCCCCTGTGACGCTAGTAATTCGTCAAATCGGAGGTTCCTTGATCTAAATGTCTAGCCCTGGCAACACAACGCGACTATCGACGGAGTAGACTAGCAAGAATTTTAATATTGTTCAGCCTTAACTATTATCCACACCTTAAGGTGTTGAACTGCTCTGGCCATGGCTCTTACAGCCATTACCCATGAATGTTACACTCATTGAAAAGCACGGCGATGGAATACTTGGCTATTCAACATAGACCCCACTTTGCGTTTTGAAGTAGGATCGAAGTATGAGAAAGGGGGTTAAATGAGCATCCCTTCATTGAGTGTTTATCTGCCAACTTTGTTAAATTTTTCAAATGAAAATACTGAGCCACAAGATGAAGAAAAATTTGACCTCAGATTTTGACGTCGCACGTTGATGGACGTGCGCCCACGACCCCTTTCAACCCCATTTCAACACAACATGCTATGAGTGTTTGTTGGTGCACGTCCATAGCCACCACGTATGTTGTCTTAACCGTGTCACACACTTCTTTTCAGGTCTTCCTAAATTATGTGGCGTCAAAGGTGTTGTTATCTCACCCGAGAAAGTGAGATTATTGATCAAGTTGTGACCTGTGTTAAAGCCCGTCACCTCTTGAACTGTGGGTATAGGATCAAATTTTTCCCAGCTTATCCTCGGACATTTGTTTTAGGGAATCTTAGGTTCTATGAGGCGTAGCGACGACCCTTGATTGAGAGTAAAGTTGGAGTGAAATGATGAGAATAGCATCGCCCTTTGGATGTCTGAGTGGCCAGGTACTGTTGTGGAAGTGGTGAGGAAGCTGAAGGCGTTCAGCTGGAATATAAGCTTTGGAAAGAGAAGATGATCGTGTACCCCTAGAAAATAGTATATAGAATCCCATATCTACAGATCTATCTAGAAAGAATCAAATCAGCACAAAGCTTCAGTCTTCCTTTTCTAAATAACACACTTTCTGTAATCCTTGTCCAGAACAAAACCATACACCGCAAACATGAAATCAACGATTGCTCTTTCGACTTTTCTTGCAGTAGTCACAGCGACTCCCTTCCTCAAAGCTCGAACTCTCGACATCTCAGCATATAAAGCTGTGCCAACCGCTCCGGTCAGAGGAGCCCCCGCCGGTAACACAGCGACAGCGAGTATTACATACAACCCCTCTTCTGTAGCAGGCGCCGCTATTGCAGCCGCAACTTCCTCTGTCGCTATTGTCAATCGCAGACATAAGCGTAGCTCTTGCTCGGCTACTTGCGCTGTCCTGGCTGCGGGAAACGGACCTAGTGTTAAAAGCCCCGATACTGCGGTCGCCTTTCAGGCGGATCAAAATCTCGCTGGTGCAGCACTGAATGCTATGACTCCCCCAGGCTACGCTCTGGTTGATGGATTCCAAAATGTTGATGCAGCCGCTCAATCCGCTACGTATCTAACATACATCTCCGACTCTGTCACTTCTTACGATCCTACAATTTGTGCCAACGCATGTAACAATATTCAGGGCTGCACGTCTTTCAATATCTGTAAGTCTGCCCTCCCAACGTTCTGCACCAACGCTAACGGACCTAGTCTTCGAGAGAGATCCAACTGTTGTTCCAGATACAGCAGACTGTCCAAACCCTCCCTCCCAAACCCTTATAAAATGCTCTCTCTTCGGTGGCTTGTTGGACGCTTCATCGGCTACAAACAGCGGTCAATGGCAAGCTGATTTCCAAGTTGTGATTGCTGGTTCGAACGCATACAATTCTGTTGCGCCTCCAGCGATCTCAGGATATGGAGGAGTACAAAACTTTGGAACCGCTACCGTTAATGCCCCTGCAAATACTACAACATATAGTAAGTACCAGGCAATTGTTATAGACCAAGCCTAACGAGAGTTTACTAATGCATAAATAGTGGGAGTGGAAGCTTTCCCTCAGACTCAGCCATACGATCCGACTGTCTGCGCTGCCGCTTGTAGTGCAAAGAGTAACCCTAGTTGCGTATTCTTCGTATCTTTCATCTTATATGAAAATGGACGGAATGGTGTATTGTAAGATTCCACGCCCCCCCTTCTTCTATATCTCTCTTGCTTCATTCTGCATTCTTGCTTGTCCTTCCATCTTTAAATGGCTTTCTTGGATGGCAACCACTGACCCGCCGATTTCATAGTACTTGTACATACTTTACTGTCCCTTACGGATCCGACAGAGCGAATGAGATTGGACAATACGATGCTCAAGGAAATCATTACACGATCGGCCACAGCTTTGGATTCACTGTCGATGGCGCCGCAGCTGAATGATTCGAGTGAGTGGTCGTGTTACGGTAGCTGCTGTGTTTCTTTTCGAGGGAAGAGGGGGCTGATTTCGTTGGGAAGGAATTAATCCAAAGACCTGGTGTTAAATTTGATGTCGCTAGCTTGCCTTAATTATGAATAGACTCATGAATTTCCTGCGAACAAATCATTGGACCCATTGGTGAAACCTGACTGTGCATCTTACAATCGAGCCACTAGTAATTAAATTCCTCGCGTATCATTGCCCTAAATCATTTTATCATATCGAATGATAGACACTCTGTCATAGAGGAGATCAAGGTTCGAACGATCCAAACCGCAGCTCGAACTCCACCGCGCGTGGTTTCGAGTGTTCTAGCAAAACTCAATATCTCGGATCACTTATCTCCTAGATAAATTCCATATTTCAGGCAAATGCTAGAATCAAGAATCGGCCATAGCTGGACGGCAATGAGAACAACTGAGAAGCAAGCATGAGAAACTGCGTAACAAATAGACAGATCTAGGGGCATTCACGCAATCAGGGCGATCAGCAAGAGTGTACTCAGAATATCGTGCAACTGTACACCAGGGAACAACTTGCTGAATACACACGGCTTCTCATCTGTTGCTATATACACTCACAATTAACAATGATGATATGTTTCATGATCATTGATAAGATTCAAGATTATCGGCCTAGGGGTATTGATTTTTATTTCGCGGTGTATTACCATTACCGAGCGCTGAGACCCGTGTTTGAAAGATGCCGAGACGAGTCACCAATAACTCAATGTGGGGGTACAAATGTTGTCAGACTCGACCGCAAGAGTGGCCGTATGCATCGAAAATGAACGGAGAGGTATGTAGATAGAGGGTTAGGTGCTGTAAAGGGGAAACTCGGTGCTTATCTTGCACATTATTTGCAGCGGGCGTCGAGATTGTTAAAGGCTGATATCCATGCCTGGCTCAATACACCTGCAAAACCTTCAAAGTGACTGAGGAGGAAAGGGTACCTCTTTATACTTGACCACTAATTCTTCTCGTGCCCCTCAGCTCAGCCTCACAAATAATAATCTAAGGCTGATGATGTCAAAGTACTTTCAAGTATAATGATTCCCTCGCACGATAGCTCGGAAGGACTATTGAAACCCCACGATAATTGGTCGACCATTATAGAAAGTTTTATGGTTAAACTCAACGTTTCCGATTCGGCAAGCAATATTGGATTGGTGTTGAATTAATATTGAATTGATACTGGATAAATCGATGGATATGTTTCAAACCCCAACCAAACTAGTAGATAACACCATGAAAATGGTCCTTCGTAATCACGTTACAGGCAAAACCCTCACGTTTCCATAAATATCCTTAGATAAAAAATCTTCCGATCCACTTGAAAACTTTGTTTGTGAAAGGATACATAAGGAAGTCGAGGTTTCTGAGCTTTGGTTGGTTACTGGAAGCGCCTATCCTTGTTGCACCACCAATCATTGTAGCTGTCACAGTACATGTTGGCGCTAACAAGGTTTCTTCCCCGCGTACAAAATAATCGGATGAATCGAATTCGTCGAATGATAGCGGTAAGGCAAGCCGAAATCTATTTCCAGATAATGAGCACGGTCGCAGAATGTGATTGTCTCCGGGATCTTTATTTTGAGCTGCATACATCGGGGATTTATGGTGTTGTTGAAAATTGATTGTTGATGTATATAGTTGTAGTATCGTGCTCTTTCCTCATGGATTGCCATGTTTGTGCTCCTGGTGAATTGTATAAAAATTCGGAATTGTAGTATTGCGGAATCGTTGCTCGTCATGTCAGATAAACCAGTCAATATGGGTCTACAATTATTTCCACCTCCACCATCAAAAAAGAAACCTTGGAGAAGTGACAGCGATGAGCGCAATATTTCCACATCCGTGCCCAATCCCGATCCAGCTCATCGATCGCAGTCGCTCGATATGTTCGTCGATGGACGCCAGTCCCCATTTGGTAGTCGCCAAACTCCACAAGATAGCAGGGCAGCGCTCATGAACGTGCCCCCTCCAGCCGTGCTTGCATCGGGCCGTCCGAGATCTCACACTTCTTTTTCGGAAGCACCTACACTTGTGAGAAGCAACAGTAACTCATCCAAATCTAGTCAGCACCATCACCGAGAGGAGCCAGTAATGAGATCCATTTTCCCAAGATATAACCCCGAAGTCCCATTGGAATACCAGCAGTATTATCCGACACAACAAAGTCCACGACACATTCCACAAAACGCGATAAGTAGACAGCCATACTCTCCAGGAATCAACGAGGTGAGCCCCGGGTTGGGCAGTCCGATGTCGTTAGGCCCACAATCTCCGGGATTGGTTGGACGAGGACTTCAAGACGAGACATGGCCAGAACCATCGAGCTCCGCCGACTTGAAGGAGTTGTGGAAAGTGAGCAATGGATGGAAAGCATCAGCGTCTGAGGGTCAAAAGTTCATCATGAAAATGAACAGTGCAGTAGAAGAGCCTATACACACTCTTTCTTCCGCTACTCAGCCGTTTTATACACTACGTCTCGATCCCACTTCAACTTCAGCTCAGGTAACAATGACAAGGCAAAACCCAGCCAAGCCTCCGAAAAAATCACAATCCCCAAGGACTGGTGTATTTCCGAAGGGCGATTCTCAGATGGAAGTGTTGATCACGACTCTTGAGGAATATCCGCGGCGATTACCACCAAACGATGGTCTCGTAGCTCTCCTTTATCCTCATGCAGCCTCAAGTATGGCAGTCGATCTGGCTGGACGTTCAAATGTTGCAGACAGTGCTTTAGTGTTGGCAGCAGCCGAGCGCGAATGCGGGCGATTGTTGTGGGACGATGATGCAAAGAAATTCTATCTCAGGCACCCTGCAGTCAACACTCCATTTCTCATAGCGATAAATTCATCGCCGGCCTGGTCCAGAGTCGAATACACGCTTGAGCATCCAGAACTACCACATAACCTTGTGCGTTTGGTGAGAGATGGTAGTGGAACAGGATTTTTAGAAATCGATACAGGGGTAGCGGCTAGAATAGACGCGTTCTATATCGTGGATGTAGCAATTGCCGCTATTATGCTGGCTGCAATGGATGAGGAAAAGAGGATGCATATTGAGAGGTTCGAGGCACCTCCGGCCGCACCAGTAGAACCTGATACACCAAGATCAAAAAGGAAATCCTTCTTGCGAGGGGATCAAATGGATATGGATATAGAGAGTCAAAAGAGTCCAAATTTTAAGATGGTCCCCACCAAGGAAAATGATAAAAACAAAGAAAAGGTGCCAGGGTTCTGTGGATTGCTCTGGATGATGGTGAAAGCCATTGCTTGGATCGTGAAAATGACATTGAAAGCAATAGCAGCTATTATAATTGGGCTCAGCAAATGTTTGACCAAGAAGAAATGATAGCGTTTGGTCTAAAGGGTACACATGGCGTTTTTGGCATTTGATCACGATTTGGTAATGATTTGAGCTCGGTTATGAACATAATTTCCTTCCTTGGGCTATCCCCGGGGTATCTCATTATTATCGCAGGTCGATGAAGGGGTCGCACCCAGTATAATTCTCTTTGGCCATTATCGTTTCAGCATGCAGCCTTCGATATGACTGAAGGTCGCTTAAACAATTTTATCTTTTCCTTTCCCGTGCCTTGAACTTGACTCCATTCTTGTTGACACCGCCGATGGTTAAAGATTTGGCCATTTTCGCCCGTTGTAAATCCAAGGCCACCTCTGCATCGGTCAGGGCTTTTAGCCGTTGGCGTGCAATTGATAATTTAACTTCCAATTTATCCGCCTCCTTTTCCCGAAGTTTTCGGAGATTTCTGGTTGCCATGTCCTCCTTTGTATCATCATCCTTTTTCGCGTCAACAGACCTATCATCCTCAAAATCAAAATCCATCTCCATATCCATGTCTGAATCGTCCTCTCCCGCCTTTTCTCTCTGTTCTTCCTCGTCTTCCACAAATACAACTTTCTTTCCACGTGCTTTGATGCCCACGGCTCTCTTTTCTAAATATTCAACCTCTTTCGATGCCTTATTTCTCTCCGTCCGTACATAGCCTAGATCTTGTGTCTTGAACAATCGCACAGCATCCTGATTTAAAATTTGATTGCCTCGATCTCCGTTCACAGTTCCCGTATATCTTTTGCCGGTTTTCACAGGGCCCTTTTTGCCCACCATCCCAAAGTAAAACTCATCGGGGTTCTTCTCGAGCACTTTCTGCTTGAGCGCCTTAAGCTTTGCTTTCTTCTTATTGAAATCCTTCGCTCTGGCAGAGTAATCCTACAAAGTTATTTAGTATTTTGCAGTGTATCACAGGTCATACAGCCGACCAGGTTCATACCTTATGCTTTTCGAGAAGTCCCCATTTCTTGCGCTCTTCGGGTTGCGATCTCTCTTTGTAGGTGCGCCCATCACGGACTGATTTACTCGCTTTATCCATCTTCTAAGCAGTGCGCAAGTTCAATCAAGAACAACTTCTGTGAATTCAAATCAATTTGTCGTATGAATGCGTGAAAAAGTATGAGCTTTTTGAACTTTTTCGTAGATGCGGGATTGTAAAGGTAAGAAAGTTTGAATGCCGATAGACAAAATTTTGACAAGGGTTGACCATCTGCGCTAAGATAAACTAGTTCAACTTGGGAAACTACCTCAGGACATTCGATTTTCTTCAAATTGCATTGTGAGATATATTATTGTTGTACATCTTCGATTCGGATTTATATTCAATTGATCTCATATGGCAGCTATGACTTCACAAAAGGAGGAGGTAGAAAAGGCTCCTAGGCTACCCATGCCATCGCGGAATCCTCTACCATTATCCGCAGCACAAGAAGCCCAAGTCCAAGAAGTCTATCATACTAGAGTACGAAGTTATTGTGCAGCAGAAATTAAGGGTATACATTCGCATAGACATGTCTGAGAAATAGTTACTGATAATTAGCATTTAGTATTCGCGGAATGTGCCCTTGGAAGAACCTTTACTGCTCCATTCAAATGCAGAGAACAAAATCGAGCGATGAACAATTGTATGATCTCACATGCCACACAATCAGAAAAGGATGCAGCTAGAGAAGAGTGGTTTTCACTGAGATTACAAAGACAGCGGGACCGTGAAGCAAAGGAGGCGAGGAGGAAGGAACAGGAGAAATTTCACAGGGAATGGTGGGGTTTACCAACCGAGGATAGAGAGGGCGAGAAAGGCAAAGAATTAATGAGGAATGCTGAGAGAGTCGGTGGATTTCCAAAGAGGGATGAAGGACAAATGAGCAAAGACCGGCATAGGTGATCGCGTTTTCCACCCGTAATCTGGGGTAGCACAGGCGTTGGGGTTCTTTGCAGCATTTACGACTAGCGTATGGAACGCTTAACTGGAAATTATATGTACGACTATACTGATATGACATCAAATCGCATTTCTGGAACGGACGAAGAAGTTGAACCGGACTTTCGTGGTTGAACAATGGGATGTCAGTGGCCATAATTGCCACTTCTATTGAATATTTGCAGGCAAGTGCCATTGTCTTTTGACCGATTTCTTTCTGGTTGTTGAAGCTTGTCTCAGAAGCACAACGCTCTTGTCGTTTTGAGATTCTGATAGTGCACATCATATGCTTCATCGTTCCATTTCTGTACTTCTAGCGATTTCACCGTCAGCTAATCCTGAGACGACGCATGCGAGCTACGTGAAGTGAAGCAACTCCTAATTCATAGCTACCTGGAGTTCGCTCTCGGTTTGTTCATCGTTGATATGTCCTTTGCTCGGTCTCTCTGAGGCTGGCTACAATCATGTTACGACTCACTTTTCTTTCAGGCTCCATGTAGCCCCAGCAGATCTGCATTCGAAGATGATATTCGAGTGAATTTTGTCGAGTCCAGGGAATTTATGTTACATTTTAATACTGCACACATCGGTTACTTTCCCGGGGATTTCGCTGTTGCCTAGGGCAACTTGTATTACCATCCCCCAAACCACTTTCCTATACTTTCTATTGCGTCTGCCTAGTCCCCGTCCTTGAAACTAAGGAGCCGTATCTCTTATCATGAGTTTGAAACGACTTCAACACACCAATCATTCACTGCGACGAAGAAAAGTTTTCGAAAGACTCAATCTTTAGAAATGCCAAGTCATCATGACAATTCAAACGGAGCATCATCCAAAAAGCCATCTTTTTTATCATAGCATGGCACAGTGTTATTCCTGAACAGTCTGGGAATACCTACTAATTTGTTCTACTTTAGATCCAACTAGGATCATAACGCTATTATTATCGAGCATCAATAAGATGGACGATACTACTACGATGTCAACGGTACCCACGATTTCGACAGCGACACCCGCTTCCGATCCCTCCGTCACAACCTCCAATCTCCCCGAAGAACCCCCTCTTCGACTCCCCGAGACAATTGGTGCCGTTATTGAGGTCCGCACTTCTCCAAAAGGTGGCCTGGGTATATTCGCCCTCTGTACCATACCAACCAATGTTCTCCTCTTAAGCGAACAACCTCTGGTTATCCTCACCGACACAGGAACACGCACTGATCCTCTTGACGACCTTGTATCCGGCTTATCTCCTTCTCGCAAATCTGCATTCCTGTCCCTACATGCTTACCAAGCAAATCCTCGAGAATCTAGAAATAGAAGCATTTTGTATAGTAATGGTTTTGGTGTAGGTAAAGTGGAAAATTTGTCAACGGGCGTTTTCGAAACGGCTAGTAGATTTAATCATGCCTGTACACCGAGTGCAGAGTATAGATGGGGGGTGGATGCGGATGGGGTAGGAAGAATGAAATACTTTAGCAGGAGAGTTATTGAGGCGGGAGAGGAAATTACTGTAGATTATGGACATGGGGTTATGGGATTGAAGAGGTTTTACGGGTTCGAGTGTGATTGTGGGAAATGTAGAGGGTTGGAGACACGGGGTGGGGAGGAAATCGTGGAAGGAAAGGATATGTAACATTTGGGGGAGGGAGAACCCGAAGGGATCGTGCAGTTAGGCCGAAGGGGTTGGGATTGAAAATGGAAATGGAAAAATTTGGAATGGAGTTGGGAGCTCGAGACTACTTACTCGACAAGACTCTTGGATATCTGAAATCAGGTGGACAATAGAGAAATCCGACACCTCACAATATCTCTTTCGAAAATTTGGTTCAAAGTCTGCAAGAAAATTGTTGTAAAATTGCCAAGGTTTTACCAGAAACTAAAATACGTCATACTGTTCATCTCCACAATATATCAAACATTGCCATAAAGCTTGCCTGGTGTTGTATGATCATATACTTTTGGAAGTCCTCAAATATTCGAAAATGTGTTTGAGGAACACAAGTGGTTTTCTCTTTACATATCTACTTCTGCTCCTGGATTTAAGACTCTAGAATAATACGTGCAATGCAAACCAAAATGTTCAATGAGTTTGTCTCGTTTTTGGGCTTTACGGCAAGATATCCGAAAAATCGTCAATACCTGAAAATATAAACATGTTTGAGCTTACAGAAGAGCTGGGAACACTCGATAGAATTTGAATGTTTGAAAACTATAAACGTTTGAAAACCCAATTATGTACAAGACTTATCCCACCACAATTATCACACCATCATATATCATACATCGTACATCATACAACTTCATCGCTGAAAGACAAGATAATGTACATATCATACAGCATGCAACATGCAAGCTCATCCAATTCCCAAAATCTCATCGAGGGAATGTAGGCAGCAACATCCTGTGCAATAATATCACCTAAGCCTGTCAACACCAATTGGCATTTTTCATTTTGTCCCTTTCCGAAATCTGACTCGGTACCGGTGGCTGCACCTTTGACGATTCCAGGGATACCGGTTGGGTGAAAGCTTTTGAAGACTACCGTGACATCCTAGCAGGGATTAGTTTGGTTCTAACAAGGGATTGAAGTAGAATGAAGACTGGAGGAACTTGAAACTTACTTTGGTCAGTCCGGTGACTGTTTGATCTGGGATGATATCGGCCGCGTCGAATTGGCGACGTGCCTGATGGGTGGATGTGTTAGTTTTGGGGCTTATTCATTGCTTTTCATGTGAAATTGATAGTGGGATCGACATCAACGCCGCCGTTATTGGAAAGAATTTGATTGCCGTTGCCGAATGTGTTGCCATTTCTACATAATGAAATAGTGAGACGCTTGAATGTAGATGGATAGAGAACAAACTTACCCATTATTTGAACCAGACGTATTATCATTACCATTTCCGTTCCCCGAATTGGAAGAACCAGCAGTATTAGAACCAGAATTACCACCTAAAGTGTCTGTCACTGTGCCAACAGCGTTCGCGGCATCTCCGGATGATGAGAGAGAATTGGTGATGGGATCGATGGCAGCAACCCATACACCGTTGACGTATGATGATAGGATAGGGGTATCTGATTTCCTTACCTTGTTGAGGATGCTGAATCCTGAGTTTCCTGACCCGATGGCATTTTTGTTTCCGAAAATGTTGTCGCTGCCATCTGAACTTCCGCTGTCATCTCCATTTCCGTTTCCATTACCCCAGTTATTATTTCCGGCACTGTTGGAGTCAGTGTGAGTACTTTGAGATAGAAGGAGAATTGTGTTCAATAATCGGGACTAGCAGGCTAGTATAAGATCCACTATCTAGTCGGCTGAATGCTCCGCCAGATCCAATATTCCGAAAGATTTGAATGCTCGAGATGCTTTCGATATTCAAAGATCTCGGAATCTTGAACTGCAGTCTGGATTGCTGAACACACTGGAGAGAAGGGATACTCACGAATTGCCATTGCCATTCCCATTCAAGTTGCTCAAGGCACTGCCCAAAACATCTGAACCAGATCCACGCTTCGAAATGCTCATTCCTGAATTATCACTCCTAACAGCATTTCCGTTGCCGAATGTATTGCCATTCCTATCCCATGATCCTGATCTAACACCATTCTATGCGTTTGGTTAGCTGTGTTACTCAGAGATTGTAAAGAGACTTACACCGTTACCATCATGGGAACTGTCATTCCCAGCAGAGTTGCCCCCACCATTAGAATTCAAGTTTCCAAAAGCGCTGCCCATAACGTTTGAGCCATAACCACGCTTTAAGATGTCGATATCGGAGTTTCCCCTACCAATAGCATTTTCGTTTTCGAAAACGTTTCCATTTCCATTATTCGATCCTGATCCATCACCATTCTACACATCGTTAGCGAGAGGTCTCAAGAATACCAAGGACCGCATACTTCATTCTCATTACCCTTATTTCCATTGCCTACAGAATTGCCATCGCCGTTTAAGTTACCGAAGGCTGAGCCAAGACTTGAGAATTTAGAAGACGGTACGGGGGCAGAAAGAACAGAAGTTGTGAGGGCAAAGAGTGCCAAAATGTTCTTGTTGTGCATAGTGAAAATTGGTATGATTGATGCTTTGTATTGATTGAAGGTCGTGCAATGGATAGTGTCTAAGGCAGTTTTGAACAACGTGTAAGTGCGAAGTAGGATATGATGAGGAAATTGATGATACCTGGATGACAGGTAGATTCATATTTATATGCAAAATTCTATCCATATTCTGTACAGATGGAGAAAATGGAGTAAGTATCTAGGCTCACACTGTTGTTGTAGATTTGCAGATCTTTTCACGCTTCACAAGCACCGATGTGCGGTGGGAAGAGGCATTCATTTCATGTGAAGATTGCCGAAGGGTGCTTCAGAAAAGTCCCGACCAAGTTATTGACGAGATATCATATCAAGTTATCAATGATGCTGCTCAATGAATGTGGTGGTGATTAGGATCATTAAGGAGACGAATTGAGGAATGATCGGATTTACAGGGAGAGATCTGCGTTACACCTTGCGGCTCACAGCGCGGCTTTGCATGTTAAAGCTTAAAAAGCTAGCGACGGGGAAATACAAGCATAAAATGCAAATTAGAATTTTAATTCTCATTTTGATATAAAGGAAAGCCACATTTGTCAGATTGGGAAGTATAAAGTGGGTAGCCTGCTCCGATTGGGAATGCGAACAGACCTTGAGGTTAGCGAGAACTTCCACAGTCCAAACAATCCAAGGTTGTTATTAAACCCCGGGAAGAAACTCCCTTCGATCTTTCACCTTTGGCGTTTGCCAATTCATTCCGAATCGAACTGAATATCATTAATGACAAAGCAGCGATTTAGTTATGCACTATTGGAACAGCAGCAATGCAGCGTTTCCGGGAGTCTGGAGTGTGATCCGAGAATCGAAAGCCTCCAATTCCTAAATTCTCGTAAATTATTTGATCGGAATAATTTGAAATGCTGGATTCAAGAGCTCGCATCCAGTCTACTGGTCTAAACTATTAAACATTCTACAACGACATGGTTTGAAGTGAATTGTGAAAAGAGAAGAAAGAGCCGAGGGAGCTAGGCGTTTCAGTAGCTTCGATGTCTTCTGAAGCCCGATTGCTAATAGGTATAGTAGAACATTGTAAGTGGCATCAAAAAGATACCGGTATCTCCTGGAAAATTGGAAAAAGATGTAGATGGATGGAATGGCAGCGAGCCGAAACATCATTTGATTCCGGAGCGGCAGTTCTTCGAAATTGAGAGATTTGCCACGACTTGGTGTTCTATAACTACCTTGCAAATTTTGGGATCCCTTGATCGAGAATCAGAATCGCTTGATATCAAGCTAGAGTGATGTTTAGGCTAAGCCAGGAGGCGTTAGCGTCTGAAGTTATTATATAGAGACACTAGAATTGACCTCGGAGATATATAGAATTTGAACCTTCTCTCCTCACTTCACCAAACCAAGTTTCAATACTAAAAGCTGCCTACCTAGTAGTTATCTACCTAGCTGGGTGATTTACGCCTCCCATCCCGCGATCTTCATTGTATGGACATTCTGACGTTCATACCCTGCATACATTATCAGAAGTATCTTCATTGAGGTTAAACTCAATAACATTGTTGTGCTGTGTGCCATCCATGTCCTCGTCGGATGGGCAACAAAAAATAAAAAAGTTCTCTGAATATCACAATTTCACGGTTCTATACAGTGATGATGAAAGATTGTATGGTGCATCTACTTCAAACCAACTGTCAGTTCAGGTTGAATGTACTTGATTTTAAATTGCCAGCCATTGGATTCCATTTAGCCTCCGATATCGATGTTAGACATTCTTTCTCTAACAACTCTTCTCAATTGGATTGGGCACACTGACAAATGGGAAATTCTGATTGTAAGAAACAATTCGGTCATTTGGGAAAATGCTCCCGCACAAAGTACCCGTTTAGATCATCCGCACTGCACCACTTTACTGCCTCTTCAGCTGCCGTTCAAAACTTACTTGATATTATAATGCTCGGTTCCAGGCGCTTGGCACCGTATTTAGAACGCCACCTAGCATATATACTTATATGCCTTATCCTAAATATCCCTTTCCGTGTGGTGATCGTCCAAATAGACATTCGACGTCAGCGGTACTAAATTACCAGCCGCTGATTGTTGTGGCTCTGCAGTGCAAGAGTCGTATATTCCAAGAGATCAGCATCAAAATGGAGATTAGACTACCTATACCCGTGTCAATCTTTGTGTACATCGATTCTCAGCGAAGAATGCGATGATTTCAGCTCGACCCGGTCAATAAAGCAAGGAAAATTAAATCAACTGCCTATGTTATGACAGTCTGGTTCTCGGAGCTATGGACTTTTTGTTGTGCAGTTGAATCTGTGGAGATATTCTAGTATAGGGATATGGATATATAAGTACCATGGCTTCATCTCTCCTTTTTCTCAACAACTTCATACATACAATAACTTTCATCTTTCATAAACTTGTTCACCTCCTGTCTTCGTCGTCAAATTAAAAAGTCATAGACTCAAAGATAAACATACAATCATGAAAGTAACAACCATTTCTGCCTTATTGGCAATTACCGCGACTGAAGTCGCCGCCTATCCTCGATTGGCAGCAGAACATGCCGAAAGACTCGCAAAATCTCAACTCGGCAAGCAAAGTACAAGTGCTCGTGACCCACTTCAAAAGAGAGCAAGTTTTGATGCTGCATCGCAGTACGTTAGTACAACAGGAAAATATGCCTTTGTACCACCAAATTTCGGTGCAGGAGATGTTCGAGGACCTTGTCCAGGATTGAATGCCGCCGCAAATCATGGTTACATCCCCCACAGCGGAGTCGGTACCATAGGCGACTTTATCGATGGTACCAATAGGGCAAATGGCATGTCATTGGACCTTGGAACATTTCTTGCTGTTTTTGGCGCCGTATTTGATGGCAACTTGCTATGTATGTTTGGATGCTTCCTTTCATGTATTGATACTGACATCTCATAGCCTGGTCAATTGGCGGACCGACACCTAAAGTTGCACTTCCCCTGGGCAATGTTTTGGGCCTTACTGGGACTCCTCGAGGCATTTCTGGCTCCCACAATAAGTACGACTCTGATACTTCTCCAACTCGCCCGGATCTTTGGTTAGCCGGACAATCCTACAATCTTGAAGTTCCACTATTTCAGAAGTACTACGATGCTTTGGTTGAGGGTGTTGGTGCCGACGAACAATATCAGAATCTTCTTGACTTTAGAATCGACCGCTTCAATAACTCTATTACAACCAACCCCTACTTCTTCTCTTCGCCTTTTGCGGGTGTTCTCGTTTCTCCTGCCAGCTACAATTTTCCAGTCCGAATGATGTCCAACAAATCTGCAGAATTTCCGGAGGGCTCATTGACCAAGAAAGATTTGATGTCCTTCTTTGCCATCACAGGCGAGTCTGGCAACTTTCAATATAACGTCGGTAATGAACGCATTCCAGACAATTGGTACAAGAGAGCTATCGGCGATGAGTACACCATAGCTGGTTTCCTTGCTGATGTTGTCGATTACGCTTTGCAATACCCGCCTCTTCTTGATATTGGTGGAAACACGGGAACGCCCAATACCTTTGCACCTGTCAATCTTGCATCTTTGACCAAGGGCGTGTTTGATACTGGATCCTTACTTGAGGGAAACAACTTAGAATGTTTCGTTTTCCAAGTCTCACAAGCAGCAATCCCAGATATTGCTGCCGGTGCCGCTGGGAATCTTGCAAACACCATAAAGCCATATACTGATGTTGTTAATCAACGTCTTGGTGGCTTGGGCTGCCCGCAATTACAAGGCATTGATGAAAGTCAATTCTCCAAGTTCCCAGGATACACCAATTGCAAGAATGGATGTACGAAGTATTAGGTGGATTTGAGAGTAAGGGCTGTATGATAGAAGGAAACATTCTACTAATGTTAATGATTTATGATTGCGCCGAAGGTTATAGCGAATTTTGGAGCAGAAATTATCTATTTCTTTGTATTATAATTTGTATAAATTAGTGTAAATGATTAATTAACATACCTATTTTGGGACTTGTTTTCCCTAGAATATACTTATTTCAGTGTCAAATTTGCATCTAGCTAGCCAATTGCAATTGTATGAGACTTGGCTAGTGAAGTTTGAAGCTTCAATGGATGTTGATCTTATTACATCGTGAAAGATTTCGAAGATCACGGCACATCTGTTGTATAGATATTGACCGTGAAAATGAGCCGCAAACAAAGGGATTTGGTCCGCTTCATCGAACTATAAACCGGCGCTGAATTCAATTCACGTATCAGTAGGTACCTATCAATCAAGCCGAGCAAGCTTAATCTTGCTGATCGCGCTTGCTTGTCAGCCTTGGTGATCTCCATTGAACGAGGCTGAGATCCCCTCATCCTGCATCTCGAACTCTGTGATTCTTCACTTGTCAATACCAGCATTATGAATCTGTCACTAACTGATCCTTTTGTTCTTGCACAAGATTATCCCGAATCATCCACTCTCACTCTTCGCAGTGGCCATGCTTCCTGCGTGCGCTTCAATCGTAAAGGCGATTTTCTTGCCGCAGGGCGCACTGATGGCACAGTCGTGATTTTTGATGTTGAGACCAACGGCATAGCACGAAAGCTCAAAGGACACACGCGACAAGTGCAATCGCTAAGTTGGTCGCGCGATGGTAGATTTCTACTCACATCGAGTCAGGATTGGACATGTATTATTTGGGATTTGATGGATGGAAGTATTCTGAGGACTGTACGATTTGAGGCACCGGTATATTTGGCAGAATTCCATCCTTGGACACAGTGAGTCAAGAAATCTCATTTTAGTTTACCTTTAGGACGGCGACTGACTAATTCTACGTATGCTAGTTTGAAGATATTGGTCTCATTATTCGAAGATCCGCCCCTACTGGTAGATCTTACGAACCTCCAAGTGGTGAAATACATTCTACCTTCTACAATCAAAAAACGAACAGTATATGGAGAAGACGAATCGAAACCGATCGCACCACAAACAACAACAGTCGCAATCTTCACCGCCTCGGGAGATCACATACTTTCAGGTACTAACAAGGGATGGCTGAACATAATCGAAGTGGCTACGAGGACGGTTATTTACTCTACAAAATTGTGCACCGGCGTGTTACTTTATATGAGGCTTACAACTTCTGGTCGAGACGTGGTAGTCAATGCTCAGGACAGAATTATCCGGACGATCCAAATACCGAATTTATCAGCTGAGGATCTTGACCCTGATACGATAGATATTGAAGTCGAGCACAAATTTCAAGATGTCGTCAATAGGCTGAGTTGGAACCATGTAGCGTTCAGTGCAACGGGCGAATATGTAACGGCTTCAACATTCAACAATCACGATATTTACATATGGGAAAGAAATCACGGAAGTCTGGTAAAGAT